AGTGGCCTAAGACAGGTGTACAGATGACTTAATGCAAACCGCAGAACATATATTCTTTAGACATTGAGGGAAAATAGGCAAAATAAGGACACCACAATCACTGGGTGCCAGGCTAAGCCTATACTAATAAACTGGTTTTCCATAACGTCAGGACAGACAGAGCCATAGGCAGCCTACCAGTGTTGGTCCTTTGGCCAAATGGACAGAGGGATCACACTAGGGGGATTTGCCATGTGGTGACAGAGAGCCACTTCAAAGGTCTGTGTATTTCCGCATGAGCGTACACTTGCCCTATCTGACAGAAAGATGAAAAACAGGATGAAAATGCTACAAGGGGATAATGTGCTACTACACAATTATTGTTTTTAGGCCTATCATAAAACACAACAACCACCTTCACCATTCTCATGCATGCCGATTATTCTTTTTCCACTGAACCAATTTCTGTTGCTATTCATAGTCTGAAAATACGGCTTTTTAAAATTTGATTTCACTTGACTTTATTTGACTTTTGCTCATTTAGAATGATACTTGTTTTGTTCTTCAGTTTCTGTGTCACACCTTTGTGTTTTTGTTCTGCAAAAAGTCTCAATAAAGACATCGTTTCATGGACAACATTTCTATTTGTAGTATCTAGTATTTCTTTTCAAAGCAAAAAAAAAAGAGAAAAATTCAGAAGTAAATAAAAAGACATAACGAATAAAGTAATTTAAAAGACGAGCTTCGGTTTTACTCCTATAATCACAGAGATGTGTCAGATGATTCAAGCTGTACATCGCTGTAGGCAATAAAGATGTGAGGTGAGCTGACCTACATCTCGGATGATGGAAGCAGAACAGGCAAAAAAAATAATTATATATATATATTTTTATAAATTGATTTTGTTAAATTTTACTTATTTATATATCTATACTATTTGATTATTAAAGTTTATATTCCAAATTTGATTCAGTGTGTTCAGTATAGGAAAACTGGATAAAAACATCCCCAAAAGACAACATTTTGAAGAGACTTGAAGATTAAAAACACAAAAGACTTTTTTTGTTTTCTTTCCCGAGAATAATCTGCATCTGTTGTAGGCCTAAATGCGTTATGCTGACATGCTGGTGAAGAACAATTCATTATTGACTGTCATCTGCACATAATTAGAGCGTGCACAGGGCAAGTGTGCCACATATGTTAAGACAGAGGTCATCAACTGTTTTCAGGTCCCTATGGCTGTCTACACATTATGCATTTTTTGTAAAACTCTCAATACGATTGGAAGACTATGGGCAAAATGAGGGGGTACCACTCAATATGTTAACGGTGTGGAACCCCTGGCAATGGAGAGCAGGTGACTGAGTGTAAACCCCCCCATCATGTGGTAAAAAACATGAATTGACTGTTTTTTATATATCTCTCTCTCTCTCTCTCTCTCTCTCTCTCTCTCTCTCTCTCTCTCTCTCTCTCTCTCTCTCTCTCTCTCTCTCTCTCTCTCTCTCTCT